ACACCTCTCTGGATGTCCTTATAGTTAACAAAGTTTTAGCCACAGGTTTTTGAAGGAAATACAACAGGTGCTTTTGAGAATTTTAATTTCCCTTTCACCCCTTATCTCCCAGAAGTGATTATCATGTAGCTTCTCCCCATAAAATCCATACATTATTCAGCCAACAGGTAATGAGAATAATCGAAATTATCATATTTAAGTTGTTATATTGATCCGACACCAATTCTCTTGACCTATTTACGAGAAAATGTGCAGTAGCTAGAGAGGAGAATTAGCAATCAGATTTAAGGAGTTAAAAGGTTAAGTAATTAGACAAATATTTTTGTGGGCCCATTTTGTTGTTGTGTATGTGAAGTCGACACGCTTAAGCTTGTAACATGGTAGTAAATACTTCATTAAAGAGAATCATTATTGATATGGAACTACCTGAAATGAATCAAATCTCCCATAAGTAACGCCGAAAAATCTTATTCCTTCCTTCTTAAGAATTTCAACGGTGAAATTAGCACCTTCAGTGCCGAAGTCGTTGAAATGATTGTTGGCAACTGTGACAGCATCAAAGCCTGCATAGCTGTGGAACGTCGAAAGTTATTGATGTAAATATCACTCTCAACATAGTATGAATTGAAGACTGCCATGAAAACGTTTGTGTCTAGAATTTACGGGAAGTGGTAAATCGCTGCGTAAATGAAGATTATGAGGTCGCATGTGTGTCTCGCAGGTTTCCTTTTCTGAATACTTTTTCGCTGGAACTCTGCGATTTTAGATGTTGCCTTTTGATAATAAGTTAATTTTGAACACAGACGCTCTTAAAACGCAGACTTCAACCAGAAGAAAAGTAAAATACGTCAGGGTGTGCTTTACCATTAACTACTCCACTTAGGAATGAGGAAATTGCATAAGGCACAGGAAAACGTGGGTGAAAAATTTTAAATGGCAACTGGTTTGACTTTTATATCTGACCGGTTGAGAGGATGGCGCAAATTTTCTAGACTAGTCAAAGAGTGAAAAAAACTGAGCTAAACCAATACAATCCCAGACCATTTCCTATGCTCAACTGAAAATTGTTCTGAGCTCTCTGTTTACCTCAATGCTGGAGCAGCTTCGGGACTGGAATAAAGAATCGTCAGCCTTCTCTTATCTTTGAACATGTGACGATAAACCTTTTTGTCGACGAAAGGACATTCCAAATTGGCCACGGATATATCAGCATCCTTGATGTATTCTGCCACGTCACTGAAAGAGTCCTCATACGTGTGATAGTTGTGTTCAACGTAGTATTTCACAGGACCAGCGAACGAAACATCACCCACAAACAGCAAAGTGACGTACTCTAAGGGTAAACATAGTCAATTATATCCTGGTCTATACAGAAATCATAGTTAGTTCTTTTTTTTCCCAAGAAATTCGATATTCACAACGATGAAGTCCAAGAATTGGAAAATGGCACTTCGAAGTTCATAAAAAATACTTTTTATGTCCGTGTTGCATGAATTATTTCAGAACAAAATGTGATTATATATCAGATCTAACTATTTCCGAAAAATCAGGTTGATGAAAAAAAGGCAACCATGAATTAATGATGGTAATTGAACTTATTTGTCTTCATATTTGGTCTGAAATCATATGTGTGAGTTTTAAGTCAAAGGAGTGCACAGCACGAATTATATTTGAAAACATAAACATGATTTCAGACTAAAATTGCAAGACACGAAGTTCAATAACTACTTAAAATCTTTGAAATCGCAAAATTCAGTCGCTCAGATAAAGGAGTTTTTAGTCTGTACGAATGTTTTGTTGACCCGGTAGTGAGCTGGTTTGTAGAAAATTGCAAAAGTTTTTTCTAATTTCCTTGCAATTTGATTGGTTTCTTTAAACAAGGACTTGGCTGTTGTATTTTAGTAAAGCTTCCTCATTGGCTCCGAAAAAATTGCTATTTCGAGCAAAAAATATTTACGCCATATTATCATATAATTTTTCATTTACAAACTGGTCTAAGTAGCAGTGAGCCATGCCACTCAAATGACATGTATCAATGGTTTGTTTCAGAAATCTCGCTTGTTCGTTGCGCTCACTCGTTTAATTTCTGCTACTGACTTACCAACGAGTGCTTTTAAAAATAACATACAGACAGACCTCCATCAAGTACTTCATATAAGTATTTCAAACATCATAATTTTAAAGTGAAGTCCGTCAGGAATTACGCAGCAATGAACGAAACAGAGTTTCAGCTTGATATAACAAGTGGCCCCAGGCATTGAATCGATATCTTTGATTCTTCAGATGATAAACAACACTATTTTGCAGAGACATGCTCCTATATTGTCAAAAAACAAATCCCAGAGTAGAAAAGAAAGTAAGAGCCAGAGATGTACCCTACATAACAAAGGAGTGGAAGGCGGCAATTAGATCAGAGAAAAGAAGATGGCCGCAAAGAAATTTGCTCAAGAAAGAACCCTAAGTGTCCCCAGTTAGCAGCAATGTTAAATCACGTTGAAACGTAAATAAAAGTTATTATCATTATTATTGTTATAGTCTTACCGGTTGTTTTTGCAGAAACTCCGTAGTAAAAAGAAAACAAAAGGTAGACAAGAACATCCATGACGTTCCGGTCAGCACAAAACAGGAGCAAATTAAGTTATTTCTCTTATCCGCGTAAATCAAACAGTTCTTCATCAAGAACTTTGATCAATTATTTATAATTACCAGTCATCTGCGTAAAAGCATAAAGCTGTGTTCTATGTTCTGAGGGTCTCATAAATATTTTCCTTTCAATATCAAAGCAAAGAAATTAACAGAAAAACAATAACACATATCGACCCTTTGACATTGACAAACAGGTGTACCGGTAACTGTTTCATCATCGTTTTCATAGCGATTTCAGGATGTTACGTGTATGACAAGGACGACTCAGGGTTTAGGTTTTTTAAAGACCGGTTTTTTTTTCTTTTTTTTGTCTACACGTCAATGTGTATACTTTTGTAAGTTACTGTTTGGCTCTCGAGAATTAACTCGTCACTTTATCCGGCTACGAGTCAAATACGCGTTTGTGTATCAAATCTTTTTCCATGTGTGTATTTTGATAACTGCTCATTTCTCTTTCGACTGCGAAGATTATTTTTTGCCACACTGTAAAAATTCAACAGACTTTTACATACCTTCTGTAGTCTGGGGTGGAAGGAGCAAACGAAGAATAGGCAGTCTTTAAAACAAGAAAGGAAGAAAACGGACGGCGCAAAGATATATTCAAGTTGGTTCAAACACAACAGAGATGTGCACATCTTTATTGAATACCAATCAACCTCACTTTCGTGTGTCATATGTTTATTATATATAATTACCAGTCATCTGCGTAAAAGCATAAAGCTGTGTGCTATGTTCTGAGGGTCTCATAAATATTGTTCTTTCAATATCAAAGCAAAGAAATTAGCAGAAAAACAATAACACATATCGACCCTTTGACGTTGACAAACAGGTGTACCGGTAACTGTTTCATCATCGTTTTCATAGCGATTTCAGGATGTTACGTGTATGACAAGGACGACTCAGGGTTTAGGTTTTTTAAAGACCGGTTTTTTTTTTCTTTTTTTGTCTACACGTCAATGTGTATACTTTTGTAAGTTACTGTTTGGCTCTCGAGAATTAACTCGTCACTTTATCCGGCTACGAGTCAAATACGCGTTTGTGTATCAAATCTTTTTCCATGTGTGTATTTTGATAACTGCTCATTTCTCTTTCGACTGCGAAGATTATTTTTTGCCACACTGTAAAAATTCAACAGACTTTTACATACCTTCTGTAGTCTGGGGTGGAAGGAGCAAACGAAGAATAGGCAGTCTTTAAAACAAGAAAGGAAGAAAACGGACGGCGCAAAGATATATTCAAGTTGGTTCAAACACAACAGAGATGTGCACATCTTTATTGAATACCAATCAACCTCACTTTCGTGTGTCATATGTTTATTATATATAATTACCAGTCATCTGCGTAAAAGCATAAAGCTGTGTGCTATGTTCTGAGGGTCTCATAAATATTGTTCTTTCAACATCAAAGCAAAGAAATTAACAGAAAAACAATAACACATATCGACCCTTTGACGTTGACAAACAGGTGTACCGGTAACTGTTTCATCATCGTTTTCATAGCGATTTCAGGATGTTACGTGTATGACAAGGACGACTCAGGGTTTAGGTTTTTTAAAGACCGGTTTTTTTTTTCTTTTTTTTGTCTACACGTCAATGTGTATACTTTTGTAAGTTACTGTTTGGCTCTCGAGAATTAACTCGTCACTTTATCCGGCTACGAGTCAAATACGCGTTTGTGTATCAAATCTTTTTCCATGTGTGTATTTTGATAACTGCTCATTTCTCTTTCGACTGCGAAGATTATTTTTTGCCACACTGTAAAAATTCAACAGACTTTTACATACCTTCTGTAGTCTGGTGTGGAAGGAGCAAACGAGGAATAGGCAGTCTTTAAAACAAGAAAGGAAGAAAACGGACGGCGCAAAGATATATTCAAGTTGGTTCAAACACAACAGAGATGTGCACATCTTTATTGAATACCAATCAACCTCACTTTCGTGTGTCATATGTTTATAGAAGTATATATATAAATGCAACACTGCTTTTAAAGAGAAACCTAACAGCCAAAAGGGGAAATTGATAGAACGAAGAAAGATGACGAGCTTCCACTTTTCTCCTTTCTTGGACCGAAGTGAGACGGCGGGAACATTCACGTGCAGAACGCTCTCTCAAACACTGGAATCGAGCGCCGAAGGCGCGAAGCGATCTCAACGGGAGAATCTAGATTTTTAGGAGCCATGGATATCATCATGGTTGATAAAACTTTAAAAAATTAACGTTTTTCCACAGGTACAAGTTGGTGACCAAGGGAGTTTTAAAATTTATTCGGCTTGGCGCAGAGGTCTACATAACACTCTTCTTGCTTTCAGAGTCGTAAAAACGCTATTTATATCATTATTTTCTTCTAATTAAGAGTTATGCAGTTCCAGTTCCAGTTCCAGTTTCCAGTCTTTTTAAGTTCTGGCATTCCTTGTCGTCATCTCCACAAACAGTAGACCATTTTGTGTGCTTCTCAGGTTCAGGATGAAGTCGCTTTTCTTTCTGATTAAATACAAGTCTCATGGGGTGATATTCGGCTTTTACTATACCATGTCTGAAAAATGAAAACAGTTCATCTTAGTGATGTAAATAATCCATGCGTTTTGAAGGAAACTGAAATGTGGTGTATTAAAATGCTTTTTTTTTACATGCACACATCCAGTTATCATTATAAATGAACATAAGCCCTACTCCTTCCAAAATCACGTTGGATTGAAAAACTCAACAGTCAATTTCTTATTAGAGTGTTCTATGCTTATATATTTACATATTAAGTGAATTTCTCGCGATGAAATTAAATTTCAAATGTTGACAGATTGACTAACATCACTCGCATAACGCATGACCTTGGACAAGAAACAAAAATCCTGCATAACATGTCTACATAACGATACAGAAACAACGAAAACGTTCAATGTATACTGTCAATACCATGCTCAAATGAACAGCAGTTTAGCTAATAGGTCATTATTAGCGCTGCAGGACGCGCGTTTCTCCGCCCGCGGGAAGATTGAAGACGAGTCAGTGGAAGGTTTGCTTGAGGCTTAGCTCTAATAGTTAGTGCTAGACCCAATGCAGCCTTGCCGCTGGCTCGCCTTGGTAGAGGCTTCATATTTTCCTGCGGGCGAAGAAGAGCTCATGCCGAAGCATGAATAATGAAAACCTGTTCGCGGGTTAATCGGATCGAAAACAACACACTGTCTACGCTAGAAAAATGAAACAAAACTATATGTTAAGATTGGAAGGGAAATACAGCGTGTTAGCTTTGGAAGGGATTGTGGTGTAATTGGGATTTGGAGGTAAATATCTGATCAACCAAAAATAATTTTAAAAAAATGGATTATCTTCGATCGAACAGGTATTTTTAAAATCCTGGCAACAACATCAGAATTTTTCTTTGCTGTCCCTTGCCGTATTTACTCTTAGTTGCGGTCTGAATGGTAAAGTAACTCAAGAAATATGTCAGCCCAATCGCCAAACCAGTTAGTTCTTATATTATTATTGATGGCCTATCAGTTAAATGGCATTTGTGTTCCAGTCATATGGAAGAGTTCTATTTTAGGGATTTATGTTTTCCAGTACCATTGAAAACAATGCCTTTACCTTGAGACAGTCACTCTCAACATCCGGCTCAATTTCAGCATATCTCTTACTTCATAAGTGATATACTCATATGATTCAATCAAGCGAGGATTTGGTTTAAAACCCCTTCCACCGTAAACTAACTGCGTACAAAATTGGACTTAGTTAAGATCAAACAAACAAACATTGTCAATCAAACAAATCCATATGCTTTTCATCAAAAAGCCTTTGTCTCCTATGAATCGCCAGTACTTACAATAAATGAGACCACCAGCCCACCACCATTGTAACTCAGCCATCTAATTTTTTTCCTCAATTATCTTAAAATGATTATTTCCTTACGGTTAATGTTCTCAATGTAATGAATTGACATCAAAGGTGTTCTCTAAATCAAAAGAAAAAGGCTCGTTACCGGGTTGTTTCCACCTATTGGACGCAAAGGAGGAAACAAGAAATTTCCTAGACTGTATTCCACAAGTTTGTTGTCCTTGGTCAGCCAGTGAGGTTGCAGCACGTGCGGATGTGATCCAATGATCATGTGGACTCCAAGAGACCAAAGGTGCTTTGTTATATGAAGTTGGTAATCGAGCGGTTTCAAAAGCACTTCTCTTCCCCAGTGCATGTATACCACGATGATATCCACGCCAGCCTGTAACAGTTAAGGAAGAACCCAGTTTTAGTTCACGCTGGTTGTATGTGTACTTATTTCTTGTATAATATTTTGGTTTCTTATCTCGGGACTGACTTAAGAATTAAGATGACGATGAAGAGAAGTTTGTAAGCGTTCTTTGTACTCTGATTGAAGGTAAAATTTCAACTTTGAGTCAGCTCGATCGCAATTCAGATTGCAATGTTTATGAAAATCAATAACTCGGCCACGAAATCTTTTTTCTGATTGATTAATAGATATATCTACTGAGAACACCGACTCGCCAAACTTAACCTTTTCCTTCTCTCTAAAATTCATAAAATGATTAAAAACCTAACTAAATAAGGTCTTGAAGCAGAAAAACCCAACAAAGAGTCATTATATTTAATAGTTTCCCATGGTCATCTTTTTACACTTATGATAATTCAATTTAATATAATATTAATATTAATAACATCGTATACGAATAGCTGAAAACTTTAGAGTGTGGGTTGAGACTTGAGCTCACGCAACATCAGATGGTAAGTGGGATTTTGCAATGATCAAAACCAAGAAATTATCATAAGTTTTTAATCTCTTGTCAAAACTTAAAACCATGAGTTCTTACCTCTTTTATTTTTCTAACATCTCTTGTGGCAATATCATCCCGATAGATAGCAGGACCAGATTTGTACATCCTTCTCATCACAGTACAGTTTGGGAAATCTGGTACATGGTCACAGTATCCAAGAAATCCTATTTTTATTTCTTTTCTTTCCATTATCAAAGGTTCCTAGAAATAATCCACCGAATAAAATATCTGAATTGTAATTGTTTTCTTTTTCCAGGTCTCCTAATTCTAAACAAGTTTATCTCAATTCCTTTGAAGAAAATTAGCGATCATAACAAGTTGATATTTTACCCATAACGGTTACTAATATAACTACATTGTAATCTTGAATTTTTTTCTCGAAACACCTCTCTGGATGTCCTTATAGTTAACAAAGTTTTAGCCACAGGTTTTTGGAGGAAATACAACAGGTGCTTTTGAGAATTTTAATTTCCTTTTCACCCCTTATCTCCCAGAAGTGATTATCATGTAGCTTCTCCCCATAAAATCCATACATTATTCAGCCAACAGGTAATGAGAATAATCGAAATTATCATATTTAAGTTGTTATATTGATCCGACACCAATTCTCTTGACCTATTTACGAGAAAATGTGCAGTAGCTAGAGAGGAGAATTAGCAATCAGATTTAAGGAGTTAAAAGGTTAAGTAATTAGACAAATATTTTTGTGGGCCCATTTTGTTGTTGTGTATGTGAAGTCGACTCGCTTAAGCTTGTAACATGGTAGTAAATACTTCATTAAAGGGAGAATCATTATTGATATGGAACTACCTGAGATGAATCAAATCTCCCATAAGTAACGCCGAAAAATCTTATTCCTTCCTTCTTAAGAATTTCAACGGTGAAATTAGCACCTTCAGTGCCGAAGTCGTTGAAATGATTGTTGGCAACTGTGACAGCATCAAAGCCTGCATAGCTGTGGAACGTCGAAAGTTATAGATGTAAATATCACTCTCAACATAGTATGAATTGAAGACTGCCATGAAAACGTTTGTGTCTAGAATTTACGGGAAGTGGTAAATCGCTGCGTAAATGAAGATTATGAGGTCGCATGTGTGTCTCGCAGGTTTCCTTTTCTGAATACTTTTTCGCTGGAACTCTGCGATTTTAGATGTTGCCTTTTGATAATAAGTTAATTTTGAACACAGACGCTCTTAAAACGCAGACTTCAACCAGAAGAAAAGTAAAATACGTCAGGGTGTGCTTTACCATTAACTACTCCACTTAGGAATGAGGAAATTGCATAAGGCACAGGAAAACGTGGGTGAAAAATTTTAAATGGCAACTGGTTTGACTTTTATATCTGACCGGTTGAGAGGATGGCGCAAATTTTCTAGACTAGTCAAAGAGTGAAAAAAACTGAGCTAAACCAATACAATCCCAGACCATTTCCTATGCTCAACTGAAAATTGTTCTGAGCTCTCTGTTTACCTCAATGCTGGAGCAGCTTCGGGACTGGAATAAAGAATCGTCAGCCTTCTCTTATCTTTGAACATGTGACGATAAACCTTTTTGTCGACGAAAGGACATTCCAAATTGGCCACGGATATATCAGCATCCTTGATGTATTCTGCCACGTCACTGAAAGAGTCCTCATACGTGTGATAGTTGTGTTCAACGTAGTATTTCACAGGACCAGCGAACGAAACATCACCCACAAACAGCAAAGTGACGTACTCTAAGGGTAAACATAGTCAATTATATCCTGGTCTATACAGAAATCATAGTTAGTTCTTTTTTTCCCAAGAAATTCGATATTCACAACGATGAAGTCCAAGAATTGGAAAATGGCACTTCGAAGTTCATAAAAAATACTTTTTATGTCCGTGTTGCATGAATTATTTCAGAACAAAATGTGATTATATATCAGATCTAACTATTTCCGAAAAATCAGGTTGATGAAAAAAAGGCAACCATGAATTAATGATGGTAATTGAACTTATTTGTCTTCATATTTGGTCTGAAATCATATGTGTGAGTTTTAAGTCAAAGGAGTGCACAGCACGAATTATATTTGAAAACATAAACATGATTTCAGACTAAAATTGCAAGACACGAAGTTCAATAACTACTTAAAATCTTTGAAATCGCAAAATTCAGTCGCTCAGATAAAGGAGTTTTTAGTCTGTACGAATGTTTTGTTGACCCGGTAGTGAGCTGGTTTGTAGAAAATTGCAAAAGTTTTTTCTAATTTCCTTGCAATTTGATTGGTTTCTTTAAACAAGGACTTGGCTGTTGTATTTTAGTAAAGCTTCCTCATTGGCTCCGAAAAAATTGCTATTTCGAGCAAAAAATATTTACGCCATATTATCATATAATTTTTCATTTACAAACTGGTCTAAGTAGCAGTGAGCCATGCCACTCAAATGACATGTATCAATGGTTTGTTTCAGAAATCTCGCTTGTTCGTTGCGCTCACTCGTTTAATTTCTGCTACTGACTTACCAACGAGTGCTTTTAAAAATAACATACAGACAGACCTCCATCAAGTACTTCATATAAGTATTTCAAACATCATAATTTTAAAGTGAAGTCCGTCAGGAATTACGCAGCAATGAACGAAACAGAGTTTCAGCTTGATATAACAAGTGGCCCCAGGCATTGAATCGATATCTTTGATTCTTCAGATGATAAACAACACTATTTTGCAGAGACATGCTCCTATATTGTCAAAAAACAAATCCCAGAGTAGAAAAGAAAGTAAGAGCCAGAGATGTACCCTACATAACAAAGGAGTGGAAGGCGGCAATTAGATCAGAGAAAAGAAGATGGCCGCAAAGAAATTTGCTCAAGAAAGAACCCTAAGTGTCCCCAGTTAGCAGCAATGTTAAATCACGTTGAAACGTAAATAAAAGTTATTATCATTATTATTGTTATAGTCTTACCGGTTGTTTTTGCAGAAACTCCGTAGTAAAAAGAAAACAAAAGGTAGACAAGAACATCCATGACGTTCCGGTCAGCACAAAACAGGAGCAAATTAAGTTATTTCTCTTATCCGCGTAAATCAAACAGTTCTTCATCAAGAACTTTGATCAATTATTTATAATTACCAGTCATCTGCGTAAAAGCATAAAGCTGTGTTCTATGTTCTGAGGGTCTCATAAATATTTTCCTTTCAATATCAAAGCAAAGAAATTAACAGAAAAACAATAACACATATCGACCCTTTGACATTGACAAACAGGTGTACCGGTAACTGTTTCATCATCGTTTTCATAGCGATTTCAGGATGTTACGTGTATGACAAGGACGACTCAGGGTTTAGGTTTTTTAAAGACCGGTTTTTTTTTCTTTTTTTTGTCTACACGTCAATGTGTATACTTTTGTAAGTTACTGTTTGGCTCTCGAGAATTAACTCGTCACTTTATCCGGCTACGAGTCAAATACGCGTTTGTGTATCAAATCTTTTTCCATGTGTGTATTTTGATAACTGCTCATTTCTCTTTCGACTGCGAAGATTATTTTTTGCCACACTGTAAAAATTCAACAGACTTTTACATACCTTCTGTAGTCTGGGGTGGAAGGAGCAAACGAAGAATAGGCAGTCTTTAAAACAAGAAAGGAAGAAAACGGACGGCGCAAAGATATATTCAAGTTGGTTCAAACACTACAGAGATGTGCACATCTTTATTGAATACCAATCAACCTCACTTTCGTGTGTCATATGTTTATTATATATAATTACCAGTCATCTGCGTAAAAGCATAAAGCTGTGTGCTATGTTCTGAGGGTCTCATAAATATTGTTCTTTCAATATCAAAGCAAAGAAATTAGCAGAAAAACAATAACACATATCGACCCTTTGACGTTGACAAACAGGTGTACCGGTAACTGTTTCATCATCGTTTTCATAGCGATTTCAGGATGTTACGTGTATGACAAGGACGACTCAGGGTTTAGGTTTTTTAAAGACCGGTTTTTTTTTTCTTTTTTTGTCTACACGTCAATGTGTATACTTTTGTAAGTTACTGTTTGGCTCTCGAGAATTAACTCGTCACTTTATCCGGCTACGAGTCAAATACGCGTTTGTGTATCAAATCTTTTTCCATGTGTGTATTTTGATAACTGCTCATTTCTCTTTCGACTGCGAAGATTATTTTTTGCCACACTGTAAAAATTCAACAGACTTTTACATACCTTCTGTAGTCTGGGGTGGAAGGAGCAAACGAAGAATAGGCAGTCTTTAAAACAAGAAAGGAAGAAAACGGACGGCGCAAAGATATATTCAAGTTGGTTCAAACACAACAGAGATGTGCACATCTTTATTGAATACCAATCAACCTCACTTTCGTGTGTCATATGTTTATTATATATAATTACCAGTCATCTGCGTAAAAGCATAAAGCTGTGTGCTATGTTCTGAGGGTCTCATAAATATTGTTCTTTCAACATCAAAGCAAAGAAATTAACAGAAAAACAATAACACATATCGACCCTTTGACGTTGACAAACAGGTGTACCGGTAACTGTTTCATCATCGTTTTCATAGCGATTTCAGGATGTTACGTGTATGACAAGGACGACTCAGGGTTTAGGTTTTTTAAAGACCGGTTTTTTTTTTCTTTTTTTTGTCTACACGTCAATGTGTATACTTTTGTAAGTTACTGTTTGGCTCTCGAGAATTAACTCGTCACTTTATCCGGCTACGAGTCAAATACGCGTTTGTGTATCAAATCTTTTTCCATGTGTGTATTTTGATAACTGCTCATTTCTCTTTCGACTGCGAAGATTATTTTTTGCCACACTGTAAAAATTCAACAGACTTTTACATACCTTCTGTAGTCTGGTGTGGAAGGAGCAAACGAGGAATAGGCAGTCTTTAAAACAAGAAAGGAAGAAAACGGACGGCGCAAAGATATATTCAAGTTGGTTCAAACACAACAGAGATGTGCACATCTTTATTGAATACCAATCAACCTCACTTTCGTGTGTCATATGTTTATAGAAGTATATATATAAATGCAACACTGCTTTTAAAGAGAAACCTAACAGCCAAAAGGGGAAATTGATAGAACGAAGAAAGATGACGAGCTTCCACTTTTCTCCTTTCTTGGACCGAAGTGAGACGGCGGGAACATTCACGTGCAGAACGCTCTCTCAAACACTGGAATCGAGCGCCGAAGGCGCGAAGCGATCTCAACGGGAGAATCTAGATTTTTAGGAGCCATGGATATCATCATGGTTGATAAAACTTTAAAAAATTAACGTTTTTCCACAGGTACAAGTTGGTGACCAAGGGAGTTTTAAAATTTATTCGGCTTGGCGCAGAGGTCTACATAACACTCTTCTTGCTTTCAGAGTCGTAAAAACGCTATTTATATCATTATTTTCTTCTAATTAAGAGTTATGCAGTTCCAGTTCCAGTTCCAGTTTCCAGTCTTTTTAAGTTCTGGCATTCCTTGTCGTCATCTCCACAAACAGTAGACCATTTTGTGTGCTTCTCAGGTTCAGGATGAAGTCGCTTTTCTTTCTGATTAAATACAAGTCTCATGGGGTGATATTCGGCTTTTACTATACCATGTCTGAAAAATGAAAACAGTTCATCTTAGTGATGTAAATAATCCATGCGTTTTGAAGGAAACTGAAATGTGGTGTATTAAAATGCTTTTTTTTTACATGCACACATCCAGTTATCATTATAAATGAACATAAGCCCTACTCCTTCCAAAATCACGTTGGATTGAAAAACTCAACAGTCAATTTCTTATTAGAGTGTTCTATGCTTATATATTTACATATTAAGTGAATTTCTCGCGATGAAATTAAATTTCAAATGTTGACAGATTGACTAACATCACTCGCATAACGCATGACCTTGGACAAGAAACAAAAATCCTGCATAACATGTCTACATAACGATACAGAAACAACGAAAACGTTCAATGTATACTGTCAATACCATGCTCAAATGAACAGCAGTTTAGCTAATAGGTCATTATTAGCGCTGCAGGACGCGCGTTTCTCCGCCCGCGGGAAGATTGAAGACGAGTCAGTGGAAGGTTTGCTTGAGGCTTAGCTCTAATAGTTAGTGCTAGACCCAATGCAGCCTTGCCGCTGGCTCGCCTTGGTAGAGGCTTCATATTTTCCTGCGGGCGAAGAAAGAAGCTCATGCCGAAGCATGAATAATGAAAACCTGTTCGCGGGTTAATCGGATCGAAAACAACACACTGTCTACGCTAGAAAAATGAAACAAAACTATATGTTAAGATTGGAAGGGAAATACAGCGTGTTAGCTTTGGAAGGGATTGTGGTGTAATTGGGATTTGGAGGTAAATATCTGATCAACCAAAAATAATTTTAAAAAATGGATTATCTTCGATCGAACAAGAAATTTTAAAATCCTGGCAACAACATCAGAATTTTTCTTTGCTGTCCCTTGCCGTATTTACTCTTAGTTGC